AGCAACATACAGAAAATGAAAGTAGATCATTTTCTCACAGCATACACAAAAATAAACTCAAAATGGATAAAGGACCTGAATGTGAGACAGGAAACCATCAAAATCCTAGAAGAGAAAGCAGGAAACCACCTCCTTGACCTCAACTGCGGCAATTTCTTGCTCAACACATCCCCAAAGGCAAGGGAATCAAGAGCAAAAATGAATTATTGGGACCTCATCAAAATTAAAAGCTTCTGCACGGCAAAGGAAACAATCTACAAAACTAATAGGCAACCGACAGAATGGGAAAGATAGTTGCAAATGACATATTAGATAAAGGGTTAGTATCCAAAATCTATAAGGAACTCACCAAACTCCATACTTGAAAAACAAACAATCCAGTGAAGACATAGGCAGCAGACATGAACAGACACTTCTCCAAAGAGGACATCCAGATGGCCAACAGACACATGAAACAATGCTCAGCATCCCTCTTTATCAGGGAAATACAAATCAAAACCACACTGAGATACCAACTCACGCTGGTCAGAGTGGCTAATATGAGCAAATCAGAGAACTCTAGATGCTGGCGAGGATGTGGAGAAATGGGCACCCTCTTACACTGTTGGTGGGAATGTCAGCTGTTACAGCCCCTCTGGAAAACTGTATGGAGGTTCCTCAAAAAATTAACACTAGAACTCCCCTATGACACTGCTATAGCACTGCTAGGAATTTACCCAAGGGATACAGGAGTGCTGATGCATAGGGGCACATGAACCCCAATATTCATTGCAGCACTCTCCACAATAGCCAAAACATGGAAAGAGCCTAAGTGTCCATCAACTGATGAATGGATTAAGGAGATGTGGTTTATTTATACAATGGAATACTACATGGCAATGAGAAAGAATGAAATCTGGCCATGTGTAGCAACATGGATGGACCTTGAGGGTGTTATGCTGAATGAAATAAGTCAGGCAGATGACAGATACTATATGTTTGCACGTATAGGAGGATTAGGAGGAACTTAACAGACCATAGGGGAGAAGAAGGGAGGAAAAATAGTGGGGGAGAGGGAGGGAGGCAAACCATGAGAGACTCTTGAATGCTGAGAACAAACTGATGGCAGATGGGGTGGGGGGATGGGAAGGGGGGTGATGGGCATAGAGGAGGGTACTTGTGGGGATGAGCACTGGGTGTTATATGGAAACCAACTTGACAATAAACTATTAAAAATAAATAAATAATAAATTAAGAAAAATCACACCTAAAAAAAAAAAAAGAAAGGTCCATTACCTGTGGGTTTGCGGCGCAGGGACATCCTAATTATCTCACTGCCTGTGTGGTAAGCAAAGCGATTCACTTTCTGGTCATAAAACCAGTCACCGGTCGCCTTCTTCAGTTCTCTAGGAAGGGATAAAAGAAAATGACAGATGTATTTAAAAAATGGCCCTCATCATTCAGCTAACAAAGGCCAAGGAGGGAAATTCTCACCACAGCTGGGGCCTAATTTCCACACTCCATAGGTGATACTCACATTTCCTTGGCACACACTTTGCACCTCCAGGTACCATTGCATTCCTGGATTCGGCAGTCCCGACATACCAGATGATTACAGCCCCGACAAGTGTTGGTCTTGGGAGTCAAACGACCCAGGCTTTCCTGGCACCGAGCACAGGTCCGATCACTATAGTGCTGGCTGCCCCTCTTGGCCCCTTTCCTTTTTATCTCCAGTAACTCATTCTTCAGTCGCCTGCCAAGACCCCAAAGAGAAGCACAAGCAAATTCACGATCTGCACAGGTTGAATGAAGAGTTGTTGAGGGGCAGAGACAGTAAGACTATTTAGTTCCGTGAAAGCAACAACTTCAGAGCCCAACCTGACCCAGTGAGGAATTGTAAACCTCATATACGTGTTCCTCTGAAAGTCATTTGGGAGTTGTAAGGAAAGGTACAGATAAAACTGGTCAAAGGTCTGGGAACCCATGCTTTTTCTGTAACTCTCACCTAATCCTTTTCTCATCAGCTTTACGGAGCTCCTCATCTCGTTGTAGAACACTGAGGATGAAATCCCTCTCCACCTCAGACAGAAATGAGAGGTCAAGTATCTCTGACATGATGTATTCTATTTTTCTTCTTCTCTTCTTTCTTCAAAGCAGCCAGACCAGGAGAGTTACCAGAGTTGTCTGAAATAAGATAAGAACTAATTTCACACAGATAATTTACTCCAGAGTAGACCCACAGCCCTAGGACTTTTTAATAGGCTACTTTTCCCTTAAGCCTGGATAAAAAGACAATGTTGAAGTAGCTGACATATTTACCGTTCCTACTGCCATCTGAATCCTGCCCTGAAAAATGAAAAGGCTTTGATTTTTCAAGAAAAAGGGTTGAGTCTTTTCAGCAAAAGCCACTTAGTCTGGAATAAACACAGAACAGCTGAGTCAAACTTCCCCTCCACCAAGTAGATCCTCAATCATCCAATTTTCAATACTTTAAATGTTCTCATGTTCCAAGGGTATTAATCCAAGTAATCAGTTGGTCTCTATAGTAGAGGAGAAAACCACATGGGGACTCCTGCCAGTTGAAGCCCATTTCTCCCCTTTCCTGACCAGCTTCCATGTTCTCAGGACTCTGTTAGCTTTATGCAACAATCCAAAATGTTCATCACCTATTCTATCTCCCAAAGTTCTTATTGCTATCACTATCTCAAGAACATCTTCACGCTTTTCATGCACATTGTTAAGCACTCACTCTGACAGGCATTGTGCAAAGTACAAGGTATACAGAGATGAGTAAGACACAATCCCTGTCCTTAAAAAGTCCACAGACTAGTAGGGGAGACAGATACACATAAAAATAGTACAATGTACTAAGTGCTATCAGAGGGATAATAAATTAAATGCTATGGGAACCTAAAGAAGGAAGTAACTAATTTTATGTTGCATAGAGAGAAAAGAGAAAGACTTGTGTTCATGGAAGTTTTTACAGAAGAGGTGGGTTTTTCCTTATAAAACAGTAGATTTTTGTTGGTGGGGGGAAATGGTAGCAAAGATATGTTGGGGCTAAATTTTATAACTTTCACTCTTAAAAATTAAGAATTTTTTAAACTATTGCAACCTCATCAAGATTAAAAACTTCTGCACAGCAAAGGAGACAATCCATAAAACTAATAGGCAACCAACGGAATGGGAAAAGATAGTTGCAAATGACATATCAGATAAAGGGTTAATATCCAAAATCTATAAGGAACTCACCAAACTCCACACCCGAAAAACAAACAACCCAGTGAAGAAATGGGCAGAAGATATGAACAGACACTTCTCCAAAGAGGACATCCAGATGGCCAAGAGACACCTGAAACGATGCTCAGCGTCTCTCATCATCAGAGAAATACTAATCAAAAACACACTGAGATACCACCTCACGCCAGTCAGAGTGGCTAAAATGAGCAAATCAGAGAACTCGAGATGCTGGCGAGGATGTGGAGAAACGGGCACCCTCCTACACTGTTGGTGGGAATGTAAACTGGTACAGCCCCTCTGGAAAACAGAATTTTTAAATTTATTACATAGACAATTGAAATCTATCAAATATCTTTGTTGTCGCTTTGTTTTTGATGTTGGGAAATCATGTGTTCAAATTCATCTTGCAGAGATCACTCTAGCTATAGTATAGTCCAGTTCCTTTACCTAGTCTCTTCAGGTTCTATTTTTTTTTTTAGCATTTATTCAATTTTGAGAGACAGAGAATGAGTGGGGAATGGGCAGATAGAGAGGGAGACAGAGAATCTGAAACAGGCTCTGAGCCGCCAGCACAGAGCCCGATGTGGGGCTCGAACCCACAAACCGTGAGATCATGACCTGAGCTGAAGTCGGATGCTTAACCAACTGAGCCACACAGGTGCCCCCTCAGGTTCTATTTTTAAGCCCTCATTCATCTCACACTCCCATTTCCCTTTCTTTCAGTTCCCATCAGACATCTTTATTTCATACTAGTAAAGACAAAGGCTTTAGAATACACCACCCAAGACTTCTCACCTCCCTTCCTCCTCTCCCATTACTTGACAATCTGATTCCTTTCAAAAAAGCCATATCCCACCTCCCACCTCCCCTTGGACCATGGGTTGCTGTTTAAAACACTAACCCTGTTACCAGCCAGTTGGCTTGAGATGCAATCTTGCACAATCAGTAGTGGGAAGAAGAAAACATGATAATTTTTTAAAAATCTGAGGCAAGGAGAAAAAAGAAAGCATAGAAAAAAAATCAAACAGCCAAAAGAAGATGGTAAAAACAAACTCTAATATATCAATAAACATAAAAAAAAACATATATAAGCAAAACTCACCCATTAAAATGCAGAGGTTAATAGACTGGATAAATTTTTTAAAAATCCAGCTATGTGCCATTTTACAAGGGACACATCTAAAATATAAAGATGAGGAAAGATTGAAAATAAAAAAAGATGGAAAAAGATACACCAGGTAAATGCCAACTCAAAGAAAGTTGGGGTAGCTATATTTACATCTAAACAATAAAACTTCAAGACAATAAAAGCATTATAACACATAAAGAAAATTAGTACATAGAGTAAATAAACCTGTATGCACTCATAAAATACTTCTAAATATATAAATGAAGATTAAGTATACTAGAGAGAAATTGAAAAACCAATAATCAAAAAGGGATATTTTCAGTTATTGATAGTACAGAAGATAAAAAATTAGTAAATATATAGACATGATGAACAATAAAATAAGCTTGATTTAGTGGACATATGTATAAATCTATATCCAACTGTAAAATAACATTCTTTTCAAGCACATATGGACCATTTACCTCCCCCGAATGATCATGTACTAGGTTATAATACAAGTCTCAGTAAATTTCAGAGAAATCATCCTCCTACAGATCATGCTATCTGACCTCAAGGAAATTAAATATGAAGTCAATAACAAAAGATAATTTTTAATCCCAAAACTTTTTAGAAATTTAAAGACATTTCTAAATAACTCATAGATCAAGGAAAAATTATAATTGTATTAAATCTATCATTAATATCTTAAAGAAGAAACCTGCTGCCTGCTTTACCACCACTACCACTCCCATACCATAGAAAGTATTCTAGAAATTCAAATAGGAAAATATGCAATAAAAATAATGCTTTCATATGCAAAGTTTTATGGTTATATCATGCAAAATGACATAACATTTTGAAAAACATAACTCAGAAAAGTAGTGGAAGCACAAATAAAACCAGACAGATTTGAAGTTTAGAAACCTGTGACCTTTCATATTCTCCCAACTGATGGATACTAGGGTTTAGTGGAGAAACCAAAGCCCCAAAAAACTTGTTAAAGCTCTTCACTGAAATTCAGCCACAGATGTGAAGTCAAGAGAGCAAGGATTATCTACTGGGAAAACCACAGCTCAGATAACATGAGTGTCTGAAACCAAGCTCTGATGGACAATTTGTTCTGTCGTAGGGTGTCAAGATTCAGATTAAATGTCTTAATATATTATCCTTGTGGGACCTCATACCCACAAAAAGTTATTTTAGAAAAGACGGTTTATTTATTTAGAAAATTATATACATTTACTGCTCAAAATTCAAGATAATATTTTAGTGCAAACACAAAAGAAGGAACTGAAAAATCTACCAAAATGGAAGGTTAACATACCTCTCTCAATTATATACCCAAATGGATATATTTAACTTATACCCTAAACCTATAATTAGGAGATAATATTAATTAATAAGTGAACATTAACAGCTAATTTTCAAGAAGGTGTGGGGAGAGCTCTCTCAAGTTATTTTAAATTCTGAAGACCAGTTATAAAAATGAAAAACTGGGCCAAACTGATAGGAATCATGGAAAAATGAACACAGCGGTGTAAGACAGACTTGGGTTCAAATCTTAGCTTTGCTATTTATTAGTTATATGACCTTGGACACGGACACAAAATATAAAAAGATTATCAAAAATATAGAAATCCTTATAAGAATAGTGTGTACATTAGAAATCATTGTTGGTGTTCCCAAAATGGAAACTGACATGAATTAGAAAAACATCACATAATGTCCCTGGACTGGGCAGCAAATAAACAGATTTTGCTGTGCTTAATTTGCTAGATACCTTGGTACCTCCCCCTCTCCTAAACATACAGTGGATGTTCAAATTAGAAACTTCTACCATATGTAACCTCCTTGAGGGAAGGCACTGTATCTGGACTTCATACCCCAAGGAACTTATTTAGCACACTATCTGATACACAGTATAAGTTCAATAAATGTTTACTAAATGTCTTCACCCAGAAATCAATTTATGTTTATATGTTTAAACTTAACTCACAGAAATTGAAGAGTGGTAAAAGAGCTGAGACAAAAGTGGTGTTGTTTTCCTGAATCAGTATGGTGTCATGCATGGTTAAGAGCATGTGCTCTGGAGCCAGACTGCCTGAATTTGAATCCCATCTTCACCATTTACTAGTTGTGTGAGCATAGGCAAGTTGCTAAACCTCTCGGTGCCTCAATCTCCTCATTTGTAAAATGAAGATAATAACTCTACCTACCCTTTTGGATTTGTTATAAAGATTAAATGAGTTTTTAAAATATGTAAAGTGCTTGAAGTAATGTGAACGCAAAGAATGCTATGTGTTAGCTATTTTTATTTTGTCAGGTTTATATGTGTATTCATGCTTTAAGACTTACCTAGGTCTTCAAAAAGGACATTTACTTTCTTTTAAAGACTACAGATGAATAGTGAGTTAAAGTACATCTATACATCACTTAAAGTTTCAAGCATTTTTTTTTAAAAGTGAGAAACTGCTGACAATATTAAAGATTACAGAAGAAATCTCAGAAAAAGTGACCCATGCTCAAGGGCAAAAAGACTGAACTGGTATTAAGGTATTCCTTTAAACCTACAAGTAGTAATTATTGATGGTTTTGCATATAAATCCTATTGGATTATCAAATATGTCCCAGCAAAGTGATATGATAAGAGCATTTTGTTTGTGCCAAGGAAAATGGACAATTTTAGTAAAATTTATACTTCACTAAACATGAAAAAGTGAACCAAAGTCTTTCAAAGGACAGAAACTGCTATTGTTAAGCAAGT